TACGCTACTCCCGCACGAATAATGAGAAACGCTTCGCTGCCATTGGCCACTGGTAAAAGGAGGGGGTGGAGCCAGCTTTTAGCGGTGCTTACTTTTTTCTAATATCTTTATTTCATTTTTAAACGCTGGTTAATTTCTTTTACATTTGTTCGTTGCGAAAGAGTTAAACCAAAACGAAAAATCAACAAAAAAAAAAACTTAATAAAACACGAAAGAAGAAAACGTTTAAAAAAAAATGTCATGACAATAATTAACAAAATAAAATGAAAATTCGCGTGTGACTGATGCCACGCGAGACGAGGAGAATAAGAAGTGAATTTAAACGAAAAAACAAAAGAAAAGATGAAAAAATAATTATATATATATATACTTATATACATGTATAAATATATTAGAAAATTTAATGAAATTAGTAATAATACATTTATATATGTATATATAAGTATAAATAAATAAATGCAAATACGGACGACGAACGTTGATAGGTTTTGTCGTTTCCGCCTTCTTTTGCGTTCTCGTTGTCTGTATATTTTTAACGGCAAAACAATATTATAAAAGATAGACAACAAATCTTTTGAGGAGTGAGTGCACAAAAAGAGGGATAGAAATAATGACGGAGGAAAGATAAAAAGATATGTATAGCGATTTAGATAGATACATAGATATATAGGTAGTTAGATAGGTAGGTAGGTAGGTAGGTAGGTAGGTAGATAGGTAGTTAGGTAGATAGATAGGTAGGTAGGTAGGTAGGTAAATTTATAGATGAACGAACAGTTGGTTAGGTGAATAGGCGGATGGATGATGAAAAAAATACTATCTAGATAGATTATTAGAAATAACTAAAGAATAAAAAAATAGATAAATGAAGAAAGAAAACAAAAGGGGTGGGGAATGAGAATATGAAGAAAGTGTTGTGTTCGTGTATATGTGTATATATGTATATACACATATATATCTTCAGAAAACCACGAAATTTAAACAAAATCCAATCTCAAAAGAAAATAAGCAAATTAGCTTGGAAAATTGAAAGAACAATAAAGTACAGAGAGAGAAAGAAAGAGAAAAAGAAAGAAAGAAAGAGAGAGAGAGAGAGAGAGAGAGAGAGCGAGAGAGAGAGAGAGAGAGAGCGAGAGAGAGAGAGAGAGAGAGCGAGAGAGAGAGAGAGAAAGAGCCGTGAAAGAATAAGTACGACGTACGTTGTTGTTATTTTTTAAAATCTATCGTCAATGATAATAATAATAATAATAATAATAATAATAATAATAATTTGAAAAAAACAAAAAGAATGATCTATAAACGCAGGCGCGCGCGCGAGCAACAGTGTGCTTCGAAGATGATCAAGAATCGCTCAGTAGTGTGACCGTGAACGTGTTGCTTTGTTCTCTTAACGCAGGTGAGTTGAGATTATCTGAGTCACCGTTGAATTTACAAGAGATTAATCTTTTGTGCGGGGGAAGCGTGGGGAACTTAGGGAGGCCAGCCGCTCAAACGAAA